GTTTCAAAGTTTGGAACGAAAACTGACTGATTACAAGTATAGATTATAATAAAATCTTGTTCTATAGCTAATCCACATCTGTGGAATCCACGTCATGTGGACTATGTTACGCGAGCAAACGTTGTGTAGTTTGCAGCTGCTTCTTGCCTGCATAGCTTACCTAGCAAAAATGGCTCATAGCCTTATGGGAAAAAAGGCAGGGCTTGGGAGCCCGATCCGAGTGTACGCTAGCTCTCGCTTCCTGTAGTTTGTGGCGGCTCATATGTACTCTTTCATACCTCTAAGGTGTCCAGCTGTTGACAGCAGCGCGATTTAGAGACGAGACATAGTCTCATCAAGAACAGTTTTAAAATCTATAAATGTATATACATATATAAATGTTACAAACTGACCTGTTCAAGATTTATTTCCACCTACACCGCCAGTAATAAAGTTGCATTCTGATGATAGAAGTGTCATTTTGATGTTACCAGTAGCAGTGTGATAAGTCTCTGTTATCTGTACTATAATATTTGAGATATTAGTTTTTTTTTAAGGGTTAAATGCATTGTATATTTACTAGTATACATGTATTGTATACACATTGTAATTATACAAATTTGGGAATTTCCCTATTTTAATTTATTCCATAATTCCATTTATTTGTATAGTTAACATGTGTAGTAAAAAGTGACAGTGAAATTGTTCTCAGACAATGATGTACAGCTTGAATTGCCAATAGAGTTTTTATAGATTATGATATTTGTATTACATTCTGTTTGTACTATATTTAAACATGATACTGTATTTCATATGCAATATTTCTAAATCTATCTCTTATGGTTTGGAAAAGGTAACATCTCTGCTGTGTTAAAATGCATATAACCTTTTATTATAAACAAAACATTTGTACAACTATATTAATAGGAATCAAATAAATTACAAATTCTGAAACTTATTAAATTTAATTCTTCTACATATAGGGTTTATTATTCTATCTCTAACAGGTTCCTTATTATTAAGCATTAATAATTAAAGTGGAGTTATTTTTTTGTGATTCAACTCTGTGGCTCTATTTACATGGTTTTCATAGAATCAATTACTTGTGTAAATGTAGAGCTAATTTATAATTAATAAGGAATCAGAAAAATCACTATTATAAAATTATTAATTATAAATCATGGGTCAATATTCAAACATTATATTTGCTGTACTGATGACTTAATCATTAATGTAACCTACAAAACCTGTAAGAGGATCTTAACAAAATTTCTGACAATCTTTTGTTATTTAACTGAAATATTAATTTGTCTAAAATTGTTGCAATGCAGTGGATAGATCATGTGCTATTGTTTGATTGTATAATACAAGAAAGGACATTTAATCTTTAAGTTTTTAAATTATTTGGAATATTTTTAGAATGTGTAACATTAAACATTTGTTGTTGGTAGTAATTTAAATCCTGAAGATGAATCAACAAGGCTCAAAAACATTTAGAGTTTTAAGTGTTTAGAAGATTCATTCCAATATATTACTTTATTTTTTGTTACTTTAAATTTTAATGGGAGTTTTGAAACATTTAGAGTTTTAAGTGTTTAGAAGATTCATTCCAATATATTACTTTATTTTTTGTTACTTTAAATTTTAATGGGGATTTTGAAACTTTTATAGTATTATCTATAATATAATCGAGACGGGTTGATAATAATAATGATAATAATAATAAGTGCAGAGCCCAAACGGTTAGGAGTTGGAAGCTGAAATTTGGTACACAGATAGGGTACGTCACGAAAACGCACACTAAGAAGGGATTTTTCGAAATTCCTCCCGGGGGGAGAAAGACAGGATTAAGGTTTAACACTTCCATTGTTGATGGAAGTGTTAAACCTTAAGTAACAATGGCGGTGTTAAGTAACAATGGAAGTGTTAAGTAACAATGGAAGTTTTAAGTAACAATAAAAGTTTTAAGTAACAATGGAAGTGTCAACAATGGAAATCTTACGTAACAATGGAATTGTTAAGAGAAAGCGACGTGCGATACGCAGATGCAGTTTTTTCGTTTTTGCGGGAAATCGAACATATTTTTAGACCCATCTAAAAATTCTCTAAGGGGACCCAATTCTTGCATTCTGTGAAAACGGGTAAGGTTGACTGTAACGTAATAATCTTTATCTTAGTTATCGTTACTTTTGCCCGAGCAACGCCGGGCCCACCTGCTAGTTNTTACGATGCATCCATCTTCTAGTCCGTTCCAAATTAGCTCTCACTTGTTTCGTATCTTGCGGTTGGAAGGAATTTTTAAGTTTGTGCGTGGCCTTCCATCTATAGTACTCCTTTACCTTATCAGGTAGGCCTGTTATTAGAGATTCCAATTCCGGGATAGGATTTAAGTCTTCTATGGACGGGTAGGGTGCAAACTTGGGTCCTAAGCTCAACACTTTCGCTACGTAATTCGGTAACATCAAGTCATCCCACACGAGGTATGAGAACGAAGGATGTGGGTTATTATGGGGTATTTGCCTCCGTCTGATCCATTTCAGTTTCTGTTGATAGCGCTTCTTCAAGGTGTTCGTTAGTCTTTCTTGTATAGCTGTAAGCCGAGTATTCTCCTGTGTTAAGAAGTCGGGGCTCTGATCAAAAATTGCGTTTTCGACCTTGATCAGTTTTGCGATACTAGTGTAAATTTGCTTCCTTGTCGTACGGATAGCACGATTCAAGCACATATTCTGCACTTTAGCAAGTAATGGTTCACTACCTGGTGGAAGTCGAATTCTAAAGAACGACATAGGCAGTATTTTTTCTTTCTTGCATTCCCTCAGAAAGTCGTATCTAGCTCTGGCTTTAGTTAGGCATATGAGTGTTCGGTGATAATCATTAGCCGGCATCGCTAATCAATTAATTAAATCGGCACTGCACTACACCGGGATAGAATAATCAAAAAACAACGTACAATGAACCTGTTTCCGGTGTGCTTCTCTGTAAACGAAGTACAGAGAAGCACACCGGAAACAGGTTACCTGAGGAAACATGTTACCTGAGGAAGAACTTAAAGTTCGAAAGCGCTAGTAATACTTCGTTTACAGAGAAGCACACCGGAAACAGGTTCATTGTACGTTGTTTTTTGATTACTGTTTTTTAATATGACATTTCTACTTCACTTGGGTTTTAAAGCTTTAAGCTTAGAAGATTCATTCTTTAATAGATTGAATCTTCTAAGCTTTATTTAGACAAGATGATAATTTCTTATATAAAATATTATATTGGAAATTACTTGATGTGAACAAACATAAAATTTTTTCACCAATTCTCTTATGAAAGTATATATAATACACTCTGCTTATTGTAATTATCTGATTTGCAGAATCTCTCAAGACTCTGTGTTTGAAAGTTTATTTTTTATTGCCTACATACAACATATATGCAGCTTCCCTAATGTAAACTCATATTATTTGCTGTACTGATGACTTAATCATTAATGTAACCTACAAAACCTGTAAGAGGATCTTAACAAAATTTCTGACAATCTTTTGTTATTTAACTGAAATATTAATTTGTCTAAAATTGTTGCAATGCAGTATTCATTAGCTATTGATAGACCTTTGTAATTTTACCTTTGGTAGTAACAGTGTTTAAATTAATTACATTCATTCTGTTAATGACTTTGATATAATATTTTGCAACAAACTACCTTCAATCCCCCATATTAATAAAACTATTAGAAGTCTCACCATTTTTATAGTCTATGGAGTGCTGCACTGAGATAGGCTATGGAGATGTTCTTGGGTCTCCATTTTTCATGAACTTTCAATCTATCATTGTTTACTTATGTACTCTAGTGCTGCAGCCTCTTTATTGTATAAGGTGTCTTCTGAGTTATACAAAATTTACATTTTTTTAACTAACTTTGCAATCTCTTTTTTACGTTTTCTACTTCTGAGACAAGGAAAAGGCTGGACTTTCCAGTTTTTGAACAGTAAATTGTGGTTTTTGATCATGTTCTACTTTTTAAGTACTTGATGATTTCCCCTTGGATAATATTTTAATTATCCTTGCATGTGATACATGAAATTTTTCATATTTGTCAGTCCTGAGATACCAATTTAACATTATTATGCACTCATTCTTGCCTTTATTATGTACTCATTCTATTACCATGCTTTAGGTCATCTCAAGAATTTAGAACATTTACTTTTTATTGATTTTAAATATTTTAAGAATAAGTGCAGAAAAATACTTTATTCCAAAAATTTCATCGTTTAATGCAATGTATACTGTATTTGCATATTTTTTTGTATTTTACCATATTTTGTTTATTGTATTTTTCTGTATTTCATTTAATCTCTTTTCTTGTATATTTTAACACTTTGTATCATATTTTATATATTTTGAACCTTACTCTATATATACTGTCTTTTTATTTATTTTCTGTTTAATTAGACACTTTTATTGGGTTTTTCATTATTATGGGGTAATAATTGAGTGTCTTCAGACTGTACTTGTATACTTAAAGAATTATAAAAAGATATTAAAACTTAAATTTTTACGAAAACAATAATAACTAAAACCTTAAAATTGTTGGTTTGTTTCACTCCTTAACTGCCTTTTATCAGAGACAAAGAACCAAGGAAACTCAGAGCAGAAAAATATTCTTTTTATTTTTCAAAACAATGCAAATAACACTTTTAATTTAAAAATTAACACTATTAATTTAAATAGTGGAATGGAAATAGAGGGTGCATAGTGGGATATCATGTAAAATAAATATTTGCATAAAGATGAATGTCAGTTGATAAATGTAAAAAAGGTTAGTTATAAGTTTGTATTAATGTCATTGAAATTTGTAAACTTTAAGATTGTATATTTTTGTTTTTACAGCCTGATGATTAATATATTACTAATGTAAGATAGCAGAAATTCCTATATTAGAAATAGGCTTTAATAATAACATTTCGCGAATTACGCAACAATTGCTGTTCTTAGCTACCTGAGAAAATCTCCCGTTACATTTTCTCGAAAGCAACATGACGCTTTCTCGTGAACTATTAACCTCTGCACGGCCGAAATCGCCCGTGAATATCACCAGAGACGGTCGAAAAGAGTCAGTCACCGCCATTCCTCTAGATCAGTGATGGGCAAACTTTTTAAAGAGCGGGCCAAAGGAAAAGAAGAAAACTTTAGCCGGGCCAATATAATGGTAACCTAGCACTGCATCTGAAAATCCAGGTGGCGCTATAAAAACATGTGCAGGCCGTCTGCCATATTTCTTTTTCTCTCTTTCAGCTACGCTACGCACGACGAGTGGATGTTCTGTACCGAAGCATACTTGTAACCGATCGAGCTTTTACTCAATAAGTGTAAAACAAAATTTTGTACATGATTGTAAATAAACTTTCATGGTGAGATATAAAGCTTCGGTTATTTTATATAATCAACGAACACTCAAGTTAAGTGGTGCATCAACCACCACAGCCTGTATTCTTTTTTACTCGTCAGATTAGGAATAATGTCGCGCGGGCCGGATAGAACATTTCAGGGGGCCGCATCTGGCCCGCGGGCCGTAGTTTGCCCATCACTG